TAGTATATAACTAACTATATACATACCGGTATGCATGATTATACTTTTCAGAGGGGCCGACATTTCTGTATTTAAATTTTTTTTTTTTATTGATTTCATTTAATATTCAAATTTTCTGAGATTTTGAATTTGGGGTTTCCATAAGCTGTAAGCCATAAACATCAAAATGCACGATATTCACATTTTTCGAGTTTCACCTGTATCTGTGGCAATAGCCATCAGTACATTATATGGGTTAATTAAGTAAATATTAAGGATATTAAGTAAAGATCTGGTTCCAATGAAGATGTTTAGTACATATCGTATCATAAATATATCAAATATTTACTTCTGTGAGTGGATGAAGTAAATCACGAACATAAATGCACAACTTTAAAGAGGATTTTCTCAATCTTTAGATTCTTCTGCACCTTCAGACTCCAGATCTTCTAATAGTTGTGTCTCAGACAGATATTGTCCTATCCTAACAAACCAGTTGTGGTCCAGGCTGACAGATTTGTCCTCAAAACAGAACATTTTCATAATTCCTGTAATAAATACGAGCTAAAGCTTCAGTCTGACTGACACGGGCTTCATCATCAGCCCATGTTTCTGATCGGTCAGGCTGGCAGATCGATTTTTTCTATACCATTTAATTCTGGATTTGTTTTGATAACATGTTTTATATTTACTTTTATGAATGCTTTTCTTTTTATATAGTTGTATTTCTCTTTTATTCTTATTCCTGAAGCGCTTTGAGATGAAGGCGCTATAGAAAATGAAGATTATAATTATTATTACTTTTCAGAATGATGTTTCAGTTACTTTTGTAAACACTGTTAATCTCGTCCACATTGTAAGTTAAGTTTGTAAACACGGCTACGTTCTTACTTTGTAAATGCTGTTCATTTTGAGAACATGTTACTTTTGTAAATGCTGCAACATTCTTACTTTGTAAATAGTTGATTTTGGACACATTGTTACAATTACTTTTGTAAACGGCTACATTTTTATTTTGTTACTGATAATTTGGGTAAAACTGTAACAGTTACTTTTGTAAACGCTGTTAATCTTGTCGACATTGTGAGTTAATTGTGTAAACACGGCTACATTCTTACTTTGTAAATAGTTGATTTTGGCAAAACAGTTACTCTTGTAAACATTGTTACTTAGTATAAATACTGTTCATTTTGACAACATTGTTACTTTTATAAATGCCACAACATTTTTACTTCGTAAATACTGATAATTTAGCCAAAACTCTAACAGTTACTTTTGTAAACACTGCAACATTATTACGTTGTAAATAGTTCGTTTTGGAAACACTGCTACAATTACTTTTGTAAACGGCTACATTTTTACTTTGTTACTGATAATTTGGGCAAAACTGTAATAGTTACTTTTGTAAACACGGCTACACTGTTACATTGTAAATACAATTAGTTTTGAAAACAGTTACATTCTTACTTTGTACAGTATTAATATTGGCAACACTGTAACAGTTACTTTTGTAAACACTGTTAATCTTGTCGACATTGTAAGTTAATTGTGTAAACACTGCTACATTCTTACTTTGTAAATACAGTTGATTTTGGCAAAACTGTAACAGTTTCTTTTGTAAACAGTGTTACACTGTTACATTGTAAATACAATTAGTTTGGGAAACACTGTACAGTATTAATATTAGCAACACTGTTACAGTTACTTTTGTAAATACTGTTCATTTTGACAGCATTGTTACTTTTATAAATGCCGCAACATTTTTACTTCACAAATACTGATAATGGTAACACTTTATTTTAAGGTGCTTGTAATAAGCAGTAATTAACAGTTAATAAGACACTTATACGACCTTATAAGATGCATATAAGATGCATATAAGCATTAACTACTTCATATAAGGGTTAATTAAAGGTCCAGGCCCTGAAGAGATCAGGGAAACTACTCCCTCTTGGGAAGGTCAAATTTTAAGGGACTGGGAGTTTGTGTTACCATTTATGTTTGTTCGGCTGTTCTAAAAGTGCAATGTATTAATACTTGAGAAATGTATTATTTAATTTAATTTATTTATTATCATTAGTTAATGCTTATATGCATCTTATAAGGTCTTATAAGTGTCTTATTAACTGTTAATTACTGCTTATTACAAGCACCTTAAAATAAAGTGTTACCCTGATAATTTTCCCAAAACTCTAACAGTTACTTTTGTAAACACTGCAACATTATTACGTTGTAAATAGTTCGTTTTGGAAACACTGTTACTTACTTTTGTAAACACTGCACCATTGTAACACTGCGTGACTTCATTACAACTTACAAGTAAAGACGGCCATCATATTCACGTCATGCGTTACCAAAATTACTATGGTAACCATAGTTTCCTCCCAAGTACCAGTTATTGTTTATGATATAAAACCACAACAGTATAAGAGATCTGACTCGGAATCTTTGTCGTTTTTTTATGACAAACACCAAATCACCACAGTTCACATTAACTAAAGTAACTATTATGTTGTGGTGTAAACTGAGGTAAAAGGTAAACATTGTAAAGTTAAGTAAAAGTAAACACTGTTGAACAAACGGCTCGTTGAAGTAACGGTTGCTGCTGCTAACAACACTTTTAATCCCCGTGTGACATTAAACGCGTGTTAAACAGATCTGTGTGTGTGTGAGAGTGTGTGTTCGCTGTTTTACTCACATCGGTGTGACTCGGAGAGTTGAGCGCGCAGGAGCAGAAACGCGAGGCCGATCAGAATCCTCATGCTCGCGCTTTCAGGCGGATAAAGATCCACTCACTCGAACCACACACACTTCCGGTTCTGATCCGAACCCAAACACTCGGTTCCTCCCGTTCACGGTCCTCTAGCTCGAGTTGGCGAGCGCACTCATGACTGAGCAGCATGGGTTAGTTAGTGAGTGAGTTAAGCGTGGGTGAACTAGTAGCCCTCAGCTGGTGAATGTGCGCGGGCACGCGGGTGTGAAGGTAAAAGGAAATTATGTAACAGGAATTTAAGCTGATTTTGCTTTTGATACATAATGAATTTAACCTCTTAATTTCTCCAGTTAAAAAGAAAATCAGCGTTTTTATTTACTTGGAAAAAACGTTTTCAACAATGTTTCAAACAAGTAGGCCTATCCATTACTTAAATGAGCTCATTGTTTCTGCCTTAAATTATTACATTGTTTAAATTATTATTATTATTTTTAGCTAACTGTGATTTATGTATATGTACATTTCTGAAATGCATAACTTAGACAGTCTCCTCTGATAACAGATTACTGTAAACTGAAATGTGGACTCATGCACTTCTGTAAAGCTGCTTTGAAACGGTGTGTTGTGTAAAGCGCTATACAAATAAATGTGCATTGAATTGAAACTTCTCAGATTTGCCAGGACACCAAAGTCAGAGATCTCAACATCAACTCAAAACTGCTCCACGTTCATTTTATACAACCAGTGACTCATTTGAGTCTGTTTTACAGTTGTAATCGAAATTATTCATTGCAAATCAGGTTTATTGGCACAATTTACAGACTTTCAGCAAATCAAACAAAAGTAATTGAAATATCTCAACACAACAAATGTTTCAAGTGGGTTCCCCAAATCAACTGATAATGCAACTTTTAATGACTTCTGCAGTCTCAAAATTATTCAACCCCCTGAATATAATCCCTCACAACAGCACAAGTCTGACTGTCTCATTAATCAAGGGCCTCATTAGCGGCACCAGGTGTGCTAGAGCTAGAACACATGACATATCTGAACTGGCGAGGTTTGTTGAGTGTCACGTTGGACTGCATGTTAGAAATATGGTCCAAAAGGCTAGGAGAAGATACAGTATCATCGCACTTCACAAGGAACAGGATACAAAGATAGTTTGCAAGTTCAAAGTTAAAGGAACAGTGGTTACACTACCTGTATAATTCTGTATTATACATTTTTAAGGCCAGAAAAGTAATTTGTTGTGGTCAATTTGTAAAGAAAGACTACACGCCTGCGCACATATACAGTGTTTAGCATAAGTGAACACGCCAGTGCTAAAGTTGACTAAAAAATCATCTTTTGGAAATTGATCTTAATGCCTTAATTAAAAAAACGAGGAAACCTCCAACCTTTAAGGACACCAATTTTCTTTGTGGATGAATAATGTATCGCAAATAAATAAATGTTTTTCCTTAAAATACAGGGTTATAAGTCAGGACACACTGTGTTAAATCCCCATAGAGGGGCAGATTTATATTTTTAAAGGCCAGTTATTTCATGGATCCAGGACACTATGATCCTGATAAAGTTTCCTCTGCGTTTTTGAGGTTTGCGCAGAGATTTTTTCTTAAAAAAATTAAATCAAAACTTTTCACAATTATACGGCTTGCCGTGGGTCCTGTTTCAAGGTTTGCGTTTTCGAGCCACAGCCACTGTTGTTATGCGAGTGCGCGTTAAGGGTGTTCAGTAGAGCGGTGTCGTGTTAGCGGCCGCTAAGGTAATAACTAATGATCTTTACAACGGAAGTGAATCAATCAAAACTAACTTTATCTGGACAATAACTTTATTCTAGAGACCTGGTCGCCACAGACACTGAGGTTTCAGCTCGTACTAAACACATCAGAGCTCCAGGACTACACCACTACTGACCCAAAGCACAAGAAAAGTGCTCAGAATCAATAATTTTGAGACTGCAGAAGTTGGATATGCAATTGAATTTGGGGAAACCACTTGAAACATTTGTTGTGTTGAGATATTTCAATCACTTATGTTTGATTTGTTCATTGCAAACGGCTGAAAGTCTGTACATTTTGGCAATAAACCTGATTTGCAATGGGGGGGGTTTAATAATTTAATAGTTTGATTACACCTGTATTCTCCACAGATGTTCTAAGCCCAACGAGGAGCTTAAACTTTCCTCCGGATGGAAGGTTATACGGGACAGCAAAACTATATTTGTGTTTTGAGTCATTTCTCATCTCAGTGATTCTTCTGTGTTTGGTGACCGCATTAGAGAATAAAGACTCGGACACGGATCTCTTTGCTATTGCCTTCATTTGGAATAAAGAAGCGTGTGTCTGGTTTACTCAGTTGGTCTGTTCACACGCGTCACATGAGCACACGTCACACACACACACACACGGCTGTCCCTTCATCAATTACTCAGATCCAGAATTGCTCATAAGTGACATTATTGCATTCTTCATACTGTGCGTTTGGATTATTTTCAGGGTTTTTTCTCTTCACAAAAGCATTATTCTGTGATATAAAAATAAATAGCAATTAATTTGGGGGCTGAAATGCAGAATTACTGAAACATGCGTGACTGAAGGATGTACAGAAACACAATAACTGGAGTGTGAACAAAATTACAACTCCATACTAACGTCTGCGGACACAGAAGAAGGTAAGCGTGAATCTCCAGCGCATATTTCACCCCGAAATCATAAGGAAATAAGAAATGATTTTCCCCGTACAGAAAATAAAGCATCAGTATTTGTCAAATTACTGTGAAAAATATTTGAATATTAGAATAATGTGAATTTGAAGGGTTAATGCGTTTAATTGTCTTCAAAATAGTCAGAATGCCGGAAAATGGCTTTGAGTTTCTTTACTAATTATGTAAATATTAAAATATGTGTATACATATATAAATAACTATAAAAATATATATATATTTACACACACACATTTACATTTTGTTCATTTAGCAGACACTTTTATCCAAAGTGACAAATGAGGAATACAAGCTATTCGTCTTAAGTGAATATATAATGTATACGTCTATATATTTATATATATTCTTTTGATTTAAGGGTGAAATATGACCAGGACATGTTTTTTTATGAAATGCATCAAAATAATCACATCCATATCAAACGTCTCAATAAATTGTGACTGTGAGTTATTATTCATTATTAATCAATAAAACACACTCATGCGCGCTCGCTTCAGTTTCACACACGCACACACACACACACACACACACACAGAGAATTTAAAACACGTTCCTACAGGACGTGACACACAACAGGAAGTATAAAAACACAAATATCCAGCAGAGACGTTCATGTGATGCTGAACACACACAACTGGACCCACAAACCGTCAGAAACTCGTTTAGTGTCACATGCTGGGATGAGGACGTCTGGCATGCTCCGACACACACGACACGTTTCCCACAATGCAGCACGTCTTCAGCTGCTAGTGAAAGGGTGAGTCAACACTGGACACATCTGAACGGAGGGCAAGTGCAGGCAGAAACAGAGCACAACATTTCCCATCATCTAGTTACACCAGTTAAAAACACAGTTAGAGTTCACCAGAACACCTGAAACCCTGTGAACGCAAAGGATTGTGGTCCTGAAGACTTCAGCTGCAATCCTCCGTTATAAAAGCATCCACAACTAGAGGACGTCTCATCGCCTTCCAGCTTAAAAACATCATAAAATGTTAAAACGCGCGTGTGAGGCGAAGCTACATCGTCCACTGTCGCGAGCGTGACGCATGTTCAGAGGAAGCCGTCGTTCGGTTATCGTATATAAAAACACCAGAGTTTCAGCTTTCGTCTGTGGCCGCCGCCCTGTCAATCACAACTGTTGCCACGGAGACGGTGGGCGTGGTCAGATGGAGTAGGTGGAGCTCTCTGACTGCTGGCGGACGTAGCACTGGAAGCTCTGATCACCGATTGGATGTTCCCTGTAAACACAAACGTGATGGAAGTGGGAATGTCTAACTACCAACTTGTGCAACTTGATCAAAGTGATTGTATCTACAGGTGAAACTCGAAAAATTAGAATATCGTGCAAAAGTTAATTTATTTCAGTAATTCAACTTAAAAGGTGAAACTAATATATTATATAGACTCTTTACATGCAAAGTGAGATATTTCAAGCCTTTATTTGTTATAATTGTGATGATTATGGCTTACAGCTTATGAAAACCCCAAATTCAAAATTAGAATATTGTGAAAAGCTGTAAGCCATAATCATCAAAATTATAACAAATAAAGGCTTGAAATATCTCACTTTGCATGTAATGAGTCTATATAATATATTAGTTTCACCTTTTAAGTTGACTTACTGAAATAAATGCACTTTTGCAGGAGTTTCACCTGTATAAGGCATAAAAATATAAAGATATGATGAACATCAACATCATGATTTTCCTGTTGAGCTGCTTTGAGAGGAGGTGTGTTGTGGACCGCGTGACACTCACTGGCTGCCATACTTGGTCTTCCTGAACTTGTCCCGCTTGTACTGCGTGTGCTGCTGCTCCAGCGTCTGCACGGCCGAGATGACGAGCCGCAGGGTTTTATACGTCTCCTGCGGGTCGTCGATCACGAACGTGGAGTATTCCTCCTGCTCCGGCCCGTCGTACACCGACTTACTGCCACACGCCTCTGGGGGAGAGAAGACACGCGTTACAGGACTCATGCATCGCGCTCGCAACAGCAGGGTCAAGGGTTCGCATGAATCCAACACACACTACCAGTCAAAAGGTTTGGCTTTCTTTATGTTTTTAAAAGAAGTCTCATCAAGGCTGCATTTATTTGATTAGCAATATAAAAAAACAGTAATATTGTTAAATATTATTCTAATGTAAATCAGCTGTTTTCTATGTGAATATACAGTAAAGTGTAATTTATTCCTGTGATCAAAGCTGAATTTCAGCATCATTACTCCAGTCTTCAGTGTCACATGATCCTTGAGAAATCACTCTAATATGAGTCGATGGATACATTTTTTAATTGAAAATTGAACAAATAAGCTTTCCATTGATGTATGGTTTGTTATGATAGGACAATTTTTGGCTATTTGAGGGTGAGGGTGCAAAAAAATCAAAACATTGAGAAAATCTCCTTTAAAGTTGTGCATTTATGTTGGTGATTTACTGCATTCACTCACAAAAATACATGTTTTATATATTAACGGTAGGAAATGTACGAAATATTTCCATGGATCGTGATCTTTACTTAATATCCTAATGATTTTTGGCATCAAAGAAAAATCGATAATTTTGACTCATAAGATGCACTGTGCGACTTTGATAAATAGAAAGTTCAAAAGAACAGCGTTTATTTGAAATAGAATCTTTTGTAACATTAAAAATGTCTTTACTGTCACTTTTGATCAATTTAATTAATCCTTGGTGAATAAAAGTATTGATTTCTTTTATTTATTTCCCCCCCAAAAATAAAATAAAAATTCTCACTGACTCCAAACTTTTGAACGCTAGTGTTTAATGTTACAAAAGCTTTCGACTTCAGATAAATGCTGTTCTTTTGAACTTTCTATTCATCAAAGAATCCTGAAATAAAATGTAAATAACTGTTTTTAACACTGATAATAATCATAAATGTGTCTTGAGCATCAGATCATCATATTAGAGTGATTTCTGAAGGATCATGTGACACTGAAGACTGGAGTAATGATGCTGAACATACAGCTTTGATCACAGGAATAAATTACACTTTACTGTATATTCACATAGACAACAGCTGATTTACATTATAATAATATTTCACTGTTTTTACTGTACTTTCTAATCAAATAAATGCAGCCTTGGTGAGCAAAAGAGACTTCTTTTAAAAACATGAAAAATCGTACCGAAAAATTGTTGCAATGTGCTAAATAAATATTTGCATAATTTGTAATTGATTTATTCTTTGAAAATGTTATATTCATTTATGCAATTGCAATGCCTTGATTTTAGTAAAGTTTGTACACAGTCATAGCCATAAATGCAATGGTACTAATAATTGGCATAATTTCTTTCGGTGTTTCGGTTTTCGGCCTTGGTTTCCTCTTTTTTGGTTTTGGCCAAGAATTTTCATTTCGGTGCATCCCTACTTTTGACTGGTAGTGTGTATGTAATGCTCTCTCTCTTTCTCTCTCTCTCTCTCTCTCTCTCACACACACACACACACACACACACACACACACACACACACACACACACACACACACACACACACTCACCCTGCATCTTCACCAGTTTGGACATGTATGTGCTGTAGAGCGAGTAGATCCTCTCGGTCTCTCGGTCTCCATCCACGTCCAGCTGGATGTTGGCGGGAAGACCCCTGAGCGACACAACACACACATGATCACATCACACACACACCATGCATCAAACTGAAGCCTACAGACGCAAAATAGTGCAATAAAAGAAACACTTAAATGTGTGTTTTGGATGTTTTCTGTCCACTAGTTTAAGAAGACGACGTGTTATACAAGCAAAATAGCTCAAAGCTTTGAGATGTAAAGGCGCTATAGAAAAGAAAGTTTGTTATTACAGTGTTTCCGCTACCATTGTTTTGGGGCAAAATTATATAAAAAAAAACAAAAAACAAAAAAAAAAACCCTACTATTTTAGATGAATAAATACAAAATAGACTGTGTGTGAATATTAACCCGCAAAAAGACTATTTAAATACGAATCCTGCATGTTCTGTGTGAATGAATGGTGCAGACGAGGCGCAGTTTCATTAACCTCACACACACACACACACACACACACGTGACGCTCGCGCTGTTTTTTGCCTATACGAGGACACGGATGCATGAACTTCATCTCCAGAGCCGCTCTGAGAGTCGCTTCGGGAGCATTTAACCGCTTCATATGAGAAACTATCATCGTACAGAAACTCAAAGGTCTTCACGGCAACCCGTCAAAATAAAAGTTCGGTTTAACTTAACTTAAATATATTACTGTTGTACAGCAGAATTTGGATGCGTCTCAATGTAATAATAATAATAATACCACTAATACAAATAAATGATCATCAAAAAACTTTTATTTAAGGGAATAATCACAATTCTTCTTCTTCCATGTTTTAATTTTAACAGTAAAGCTAATTATGCATAAATGTTTATTTACCAAATTTATGTGCACTAAAAACGCACCGATACAAACAACCGCCTTCCGAGTCTATGCCAACAGCAGGTCCTCGTAACACTAGCGGTTATTGTGACTCACCCCGTGCAGGGCGTGCAGCCGGGCGCCGCGTCCGCCGAGAGCTTGCAGCACAGCCAGTGTCCGTTCAGGAACGCCGACGGGTGGAACGTGCTCAAGCGCTTGCGGTTGCACTGACTGACTTTGGTCAAGATGTCGATCCAGTCGCGAGCCTCAACACAGTTATTAGCCTGGATGTAGAGCGCCCTCTCTGGCTGGATGACCTGGAACATCTGCAGACACAGGCAAACCAAACATTATTCAACATTTCTCACATTCTCACAGTTTATTCGCTATAATGGTGATAAACATGAGCAGAACTCAGAGTTCTCAGATCAGTGGATATTTGACTGGTTTTGTCCGTCCTTCTGTTCGACTCTCACACATGAATTATGTTGAATATCTGTCAGCTGTTAAATTGAACTACACAATTAGATAATACCAGTTTAGCTCAACCAGTGACCAAGCAATGCTTCATGTTGTTCAGTGTGTGTGTAAAAAGAGCATTAGCAATTACAGAAAACACACTTCAGCAAAACATGATCAGCTCAAAGTGTCCGAATCATTTCTGCTCCCGATCTTTACTGGTAGTCACTGTATGAAGAATTATTGGGTGTAATATGTCACAGTTTACTTTATTTTGCTCTCCTCACTTACAGAAATGAACTATAGTGTCCTGCACACACTAGTGAAACAATATCACACATTACATCTGGTGTCTGAGTGATGTTTGGTTTGACTGTGTGTAGAAACACAGACGCTGCATAAACACTCATCAAATGTGACTGTGAAAGAGTTCCTCTTACGTTCTTCATCTTGAAGGACTCTTCCTCGAGTCTCTCCACAGCCAGGATGTTTTCTATAGGGATGCTGCAGAGAGCGCCCTCTCCTGGACACAACACACACACACACACACATCAGCACTGGAGATCACACACCCTCATCAATGACCGACACACACCGGACTGGGCGCATGTCAGTATAAACGGAGTACAGACAGGAACATCTTTGAATCATTAGTGTGTGTGTGTCAGTGTTTTCTGCAGGTCTTCAGTTTTTGTCTGTTTTCGGTCAACAAAAACATTTTAATTAATATAATCAATTTAATTCTATACACTAGCGTTCAAACATTAAGATTTCATAATGTTTCTGAAAGAGTCTCTTCTGCTCACCAAGGCTGTGTTTATTTGATCAAAAATGACAGCTGTTTTCTATGTGAATATATAGTAAAGTGTAATTGAAATATTAATATATTTAAATAATATTTATTATTAATTATTACTTATTTATGTTCTGTGATCAAAGCTGTATGTTCAGCATCATTACTCCAGTCTTCAGTGTCACATGATCCTTCAGAAATCACTCTAATATGAGGATCTGATGATCAAGACACATTTATGATTATTATCAGTGTTAAAAACAGTTCATATTTTTGTGGAAACCGTCATACATTTTATTTTTCAGGATTCTTTGATGAATAGAAAGTTCAAAAGAACAGCATTTATTTGAAATATAATCTTTTGTAACACTATTAAAGTCACTTTTGATCGATTTTTATTTTTTATTACTTTTATTGAAGTTTTCTGACAACAACAACAACAACAAAAAAAAAGGACAAAAAAAAAAGAAAAGGAAAACATACATTAAACAAAATCAAAGGAGGCCAAGGAGGAGTTACCTAGTACAATTGAAACAAAAATAAGTCTAGTTGTAAACATCGGAATCACTGATCAATAAACCTTATAATTACAATACTTCTACCATCTTTTACGCAGTTTACCAGGAGCCCAATCCGTAGAATCTCACAAAGTTAACACCCAGTATACAGTATTGTATTGGGCAGAAAAGTTATGCAGTTTCCAGGGTCAAAAAATGGGTCCACTTTCTCCATTTTTCTTTAAATGATGATTCTCTTAACCTTATAGTGTAGGTTAATTTTTCCATAATAAAAATGCTTTGAATTAAACTTGTCCATTGCTGTAGATCTGGGATGTTCGATTTGAGCCAAAGTCTAGTGATAGCCTTTCGGGCCGCGGATAATAAAATTTTGGATAAATACAGGTCCTCCTTCCGCACACTTTCTTTGATGTTTCCGAGAAACATAACTTCACTTTTAATCGATTTAATGCCTCCTTGATGAATAAAAGTATAACTCGTTTTTTAAATCTTACCCCAAACTTTTGAACAGTAGTAAATATTTTAACCAAGACATTATTAATATTCAAAACGTACATATAATGTTGCATTTATTTGAAACAGAATCTTTTGTAACATTTTAAATGCCTTTACTGTCACTTTTGATGAATAAAAGTATTAATTTCTTTGAAACTTTTGAACTGTAGTGTGTGATTCATGACAATATAAACTCATAATGATTTGATGCATCGAAATTCTGGAATATTTGCCATTATTTCTGTCGACTGATGAGCAACTTCCTCAAAATGCATCATTATGAAAAATAAATATTCAGGAATTGATTATTTATTGTTTTCTTTTAATAATGCATGCATCACATCATGAATCAGTGTAATGTGTCTCTATATGGACCGTTATTGAGATATTGATGATGATGACCTGATGATGGGATCACAAACACACACACACACACACACACACACACACACACACACACACAGATGATCCTCCACAGACGCCTCACACACACACACACACACACACACACACACAGATGATCCTCCACAGACGCCTCACACACACACACACACACACACACACACACACACACACACACACACACACACAGATGATCCTCCACAGACGCCTCACACACACACACACACACACACACACAGATGATCCTCCACAGACGCCTCACACACACACACACACACACACACACACACACACACAGATGATCCTCCACAGACGCCTCACACACACACACACACACACACACACACACACACACACACACACACACACACACACACACACAGATGATCCTCCACAGACGCCTCACACACACACACACACACACACACACACACACACACACACACACACACACACACACACACACACACACAGATGATCCTCCACAGACGCCTCACACACACACACACACACACACACACACACACACACACAGATGATCCTCCACAGACGCCTCACATACACACACACACACACACACACACACACACACACACACACACACACACACACACAGATGATCCTCCACAGACGCCACACACACACACACACACACACACACACACACACACACACACACACACACACACACAGATGATCCTCCACAGACGCCTCACACACACACACACACACACACACACACACACACACACACACACACACACACAGATGATCCTCCACAGACGCCTCACACACACACACACACACACACACACACACACACACACACACACACAGATGATCCTTCACAGACGCCTCACACACACACACACACACACACACACACACAGATGATCCTCCACAGACGCCTCACACACACACACACACACACACACACACACACACACACACACACACACAGATGATCCTCCACAGACGCCTCACACACACACACACACACACACACACACACACAAACACACACAGATGATCCTCACACACACACACACACGCAGATGATCCTCACACACCTGTAGTGAGAGTTCAGGACGAACCTTTTGCGTTACCTTTGGTTTTATGGTAGGTGAACTCGTGGTTGGTGAGGCGGAACCATCTCTTCTTGAAGTTCTTCAGACCGAAGCGGTTTCGCCCTTGAGCTCGTTTGATCATGAACCTGGAAGAACAGAAACACCTTTCAGAAACTCAAACTCCCTCCGGTCTCACACACACACACACACACACACACAGCCGACAGGGAACGCCATCTCAAGGTTACGATCAAACGCTCTTCCAGTGACGCTAATAGAACGATCGTTCAGTTTTCTGGTCTTTAATAATGTCCTCAAAACGTTAGCACAAAACATTATATATAGGAATATATGAATTTCAGTAAATATTGTGTAAAATAGGTGAATATTTAATATCTGCATTCTCATTACTTGGAAAGAAAAATCACTGATGGGATCCTTTTAATATTTCAATAGATTTTCAATAGATGGAAATTGAGAATAAATAAGCAAATGGAGCACAGCTCAAGCACACACACACACACACACGCGCGCGCACGCACGCACGCATAGAAGAAACAGAAGAAAAAGTGTGATTATTTCCTAAAAAAATTATTTCTGATAGTTTATTATTATTAGTGTTAGTATTATTATTAAATTGAGATATCTAAATCCGACTGTACAACAGTAATATATTATCAAGTTAAACCGAACTGTAATTTTGACGGGTTGTGGTGAAGACCTTTGAGTTTCCGTGTGTTAATGATATAACGATAGTTTTTCTTAAATGAACTGTAAAAAGGCTCTGGGAATGAAGTTCATGCATTCACGTTCTCATATAGTGCGTCCCAGCCCTAAGGGGGAGTCCAGCAGGAACATCACGGCTAGAACACAGATTTGGATAATCTAGTTCAGTCTCGGATACTGGGGAGGTCATGATGAGGGTCACGAGGTCAAAGGTCACAATGGCATCTAACACAGGTGAGTCTTACCTGCCAGAGCCCTTGGCATCAAACCTCTTAATAACGAGTTTAACGCTCCTGCGTCCAGCAGAGAAACATAAACACACACACACTGATAAAGCCTCTGTGTCATGTGACGGCCGTACGAGCCGTGTGATTGGACCGTGAGCGTCTCTCACCCTTCCTTCAGCATGATGGGCGTCTCGATGCTCTTCTGATCCCACCGAGCCGAGGACGATATCAGATCCAGGAACTGTGACAGAGAGGAAGCGTGTGTGAGTGTGTAGAACGTCACAGAGATACAGGCAAACCAACATTATTCACACACTTCAACATTTCTCACATTATCACAGTTTATTCGCTATAATGGTGTTAAACATGAGCAGAACTCAAGAGTTCTCAGATCAGTGGATATTTGACTGGTTTTGTCCGTCCTTCTGTTCGACTCTCACACATGAATTATGTTGAATATCTGTCAGCTGTTAAATTGAACTACACAATTAGATAATACCAGTTTAGCTCAACCAGTGACCAAGCAATGCTTCATGTTGTTCAGTGTGTGTGTAAAAAGAGCATTAGCAATTACAGAAAACACACTTCAGCAAAACATGATCAGCTCAAAGTGTCCGAATCATTTCTGCTCCCGATCTTTACTGGTAGTCAGGGCTGGACTGGGACAAAAAATCGGCCCGGGCATTTTGGCCCAGACTGGCCCACTATATAACACAACCGAACTTTGCACGCCCTTGAATATGTATACCAACTCCTATTAAAACCACTAATGCCATAAGTGAATAGGAGTGAGTAAGAGTTAACCGATGAAATAACTACTAAGTTGAACTAGACTCCACAGTGATGAATCCTAAAGAAAGCTATAAGCTGGGATAGCAATACCGTTTTTTCCCACAGGTTTTTGTGATATCTGTGGTGAGTGCACCTCTGTCCCTCTAGGGGGGTTCGGGGGTATGCTCCCCCGTAAGAAAATTTTGTGCTTTTTAATGTTAAATTCATCAATCTGGTGCACTTTGAGAGTTAAAGATAAAGAGCTCCAACCCATATTCAGTGTGCAAATTGAACAAAGAAAAACTCAAAACTCTTTTAGTTGTGATATAGTGTCTGTCTACATTACACTACTACATAATAATAGTTATAATATTAATCCCATGGCAGTAATAGCCATATGTTGTAAAACAAATGCACTGAAAAATAAAAGCAACTTTCATAATTAGTTTCGTACTAATTTCTATACAGAGATAAGCACATGATCTTTTATTTTGACGGAAACGGCATCGAGCTTTTATTTTGAAGAAAAATATGGTTTACAAACTCATCACTCATTATTGTCTCATTACAATTCTAATAAAATGCGTAATCGTCAAATATGCAGATGTGTAAATAATGCGTAACTGGGTAGTGGGTTCCTACATAGCCTAATGGTGTGTTCACACCGAACGCGAATTTAATTATTTGGGCGAGTAGATTACATACAAAGTCAATGCAAAGACGCATCATTTGCGCCGGGCGTTGCGAATGACGCGAATTGGGCGACGCGTTTGTCGCGAATGTCCTCCGCGCAAGTTGAAAAATTTGAACTGGAGCGAATGTTCAAGCGTCTAACTAAACGCGATAGACGCGTATTTGACGCTCTATTCGCGTTCGGTGTGAACACACCATAAGTGTTGTGACAGTGTAGCCTAGTTCTGCTTACCACAGTTCTCTGCACTCACTCATCTCTCTCCTTATCCTCCTCTCTATCCTCACTCATCTCTCTCCTTATCCTCCTCACTATCCTCACTCATCTCTCTCCTTATCCTCCTCACTATCCTCACTCATCTCTCTCCTTATCCTCCTCTCTATCCTCACTCATCTCTCTCCTTATCCTCCTCACTATCCTCACTCATCTCTCTCCTTATCCTCCTCTCTATCCTCACTCATCTCTCTCCTTATCCTCCTCACTATCCTCACTCATCTCTCTCCTTATCCTCCTCACTATCCTCACTCATCTCTCTCCTTATCCTCCTCTCTATCCTCACTCATCTCTCTCCTTATCCTCCTCTCTATCCTCACTCATCTCTCTCCTTATCCTCCTCTCTATCCTCACTCATCTCTCTCCTTATCCTCCTCTCTATCCTCACTCATCTCTCTCCTTATCCTCCTCTCTATCCTCACTCATCTCTCTCCTTATCCTCCTCTCTATCCTCACTCATCTCTCTCCTTATCCTCCTCTCTATCCTCACTCATCTCTCTCCTTATCCTCCTCACTATCCTCACTCATCTCTCTCCTTATCCTCCTCACTATCCTCACTCATCTCTCTCCTTATCCTCCTCTCTATCCTCACTCATCTCTCTCCTTATCCTCCTCTCTATCCTCACTCATCTCTCTCCTTATCCTCCTCACTATCCTCACTCATCTCTCTCCTTATCCTCCTCTCTATCCTCACTCATCTCTCTCCTTATCCTCCTCACTATCCTCACTCATCTCTCTCCTTATCCTCCTCTCTATCCTCACTCATCTCTCTCCTTATCCTCCTCACTATCCTCACTCATCTCTCTCCTTATCCTCCTCACTATCCTCACTCATCTCTCTCCTTATCCTCCTCACTATCCTCACTCATCTCTCTCCTTATCCTCCTCTCTATCCTCACTCATCTCTCTCCTTATCCTCCTCACTATCCTCACTCATCTCTCTCCTTATCCTCCTCTCTATCCTCACTCATCTCTCTCCTTATCCTCCTCACTATCCTCACTCATCTCTCTCCTTATCCTCCTCACTATCCTCACTCATCTCTCTCCTTATCCTCCTCACTATCCTCACTCATCTCTCTCCTTATCCTCCTCTCTATCCTCACTCATCTCTCTCCTTATCCTCCTCACTATCCTCACTCATCTCTCTCCTTATCCTCCTCACTATCCTCACTCATCTCTCTCCTTATCCTCCTCTCTATCCTCACTCATCTCTCTCCTTATCCTCCTCTCTATCCTCACTCATCTCTCTCCTTATCCTCCTCTCTATCCTCACTCATCTCTCTCCTTATCCTCCTCTCTATCCTCACTCATCTCTCTCCTTATCCTCCTCTCTATCCTCACTCATCTCTCTCCTTATCCTCCTCTCTATCCTCACTCATCTCTCTCCTTATCCTCCTCACTATCCTCACTCATCTCTCTCCTTATCCTCCTCACTATCCTCACTCATCTCTCTCCTTATCCTCCTCTCTATCCTCACTCATCTCTCTCCTTATCCTCCTCTCTATCCTCACTCATCTCTCTCCTTATCCTCCTCTCTATCCTCACTCATCTCTCTCCTTATCCTCCTCTCTATCCTCACTCATCTCTCTCCTTATCCTCCTCACTATCCTCACTCATCTCTCTCCTTATCCTCCTCACTATCCTCACTCATCTCTCTCCTTATCCTCCTCACTATCCTCACTCATCTCTCTCCTTATCCTCCTCACTATCCTCACTCATCTCTCTCCTTATCCTCCTCTCTATCCTCACTCATCTCTCTCCTTATCCTCCTCTCTATCCTCACTCATCTCTCTCCTTATCCTCCTCTCTATCCTCACTCATCTCTCTCCTTATCCTCCTCTCTATCCTCACTCATCTCTCTCCTTATCCTCCTCTCTATCCTCACTCATCTCTCTCCTTATCCTCCTCACTATCCTCACTCATCTCTCTCCTTATCCTCCTCACTATCCTCACTCATCTCTCTCCTTATCCTCCTCACTATCCTCACTCATCTCTCTCCTTATCCTCCTCACTATCCTCACTCATCTCTCTCCTTATCCTCCTCACTATCCTCACTCATCTCTCTCCTTATCCTCCTCACTATCCTCACTCATCTCTCTCCTTATCCTCCTCTCTATCCTCACTCATCTCTCTCCTTATCCTCCTCTCTATCCTCACTCATCTCTCTCCTTATCCTCCTCTCTATCCTCACTCATCTCTCTCCTTATCCTCCTCACTATCCTCACTCATCTCTCTCCTTATCCTCCTCACTATCCTCACTCATCTCTCTCCTTATCCTCCTCACTATCCTCACTCATCTCTCTCCTTATCCTCCTCACTATCCTCACTCATCTCTCTCCTTATCCTCCTCTCTATCCTCACTCATCTCTCTCCTTATCCTCCTCACTATCCTCACTCATCTCTCTCCTTATCCTCCTCTCTATCCTCACTCATCTCTCTCCTTATCCTCCTCACTATCCTCACTCATCTCTCTCCTTATCCTCCTCTCTATCCTCACTCATCTCTCTCCTTATCCTCCTCACTATCCTCACTCATCTCTCTCCTTATCCTCCTCTCTATCCTCACTCATCTCTCTCCTTATCCTCCTCTCTATCCTCACTCATCTCTCTCCTTATCCTCCTCTCTATCCTCACTCATCTCTCTCCTTATCCTCCTCTCTATCCTCACTCATCTCTCTCCTTATCCTCCTCTCTATCCTCACTCATCTCTCTCCTTATCCTCCTCTCTATCCTCACTCATCTCTCTCCTTATCCTCCTCTCTATCCTCACTCATCTCTCTCCTTATCCTCCTCTCTATCCTCACTCATCTCTCTCCTTATCCTCCTCTCTATCCTCACTCATCTCTCTCCTTATCCTCCTCACTATCCTCACTCATCTCTCTCCTTATCCTCCTCACTATCCTCACTCATCTCTCTCCTTATCCTCCTCTCTATCCTCACTCATCTCTCTCCTTATCCTCCTCTCTATCCTCACTCATCTCTCTCCTTATCCTCCTCACTATCCTCACTCATCTCTCTCCTTATCCTCCTCTCTATCCTCACTCATCTCTCTCCTTATCCTCCTCTCTATCCTCACTCATCTCTCTCCTTATCCTCCTCACTATCCTCACTCATCTCTCTCCTTATCCTCCTCTCTATCCTCACTCATCTCTCTCCTTATCCTCCTCTCTATCCTCACTCATCTCTCTCCTTATCCTCCTCTCTATCCTCACTCATCTCTCTCCTTATCCTCCTCTCTATCCTCACTCATCTCTCTCCTTATCCTCCTCTCTATCCTCACTCATCTCTCTCCTTATCCTCCTCTCTATCCTCACTCATCTCTCTCCTTATCCTCCTCACTATCCTCACTCATCTCTCTCCTTATCCTCCTCTCTATCCTCACTCATCTCTCTCCTTATCCTCCTCTCTATCCTCACTCATCTCTCTCCTTATCCTCCTCTCTATCCTCACTCATCTCTCTCCTTATCCTCCTCACTATCCTCACTCATCTCTCTCCTTATCCTCCTCTCTATCCTCACTCATCTCTCTCCTTATCCTCCTCTCTATCCTCACTCATCTCTCTCCTTATCCTCCTCTCTATCCTCACTCATCTCTCTCCTTATCCTCCTCTCTATCCTCACTCATCTCTCTCCTTATCCTCCTCTCTATCCTCACTCATCTCTCTCCTTATCCTCCTCACTATCCTCACTCATCTCTCTCCTTATCCTCCTCACTATCCTCACTCATCTCTCTCCTTATCCTCACTATCCTCACTCATCTCTCTCCTTATCCTCCTCACTATCCTCACTCATCTCTCTCCTTATCCTCCTCACTATCCAAACTCATCTCTCTCCTTATCCTCCTCACTATCCTCACTCATCTCTCTCCTTATCCTCCTCACTATCCTCACTCATCTCTCTCCTTATCCTCCTCACTATCCTCACTCATCTCTCTCCTTATCCTCCTCTCTATCCTCACTCATCTCTCTCCTTATCCTCCTCTCTATCCTCACTCATCTCTCTCCTTATCCTCCTCACTATCCTCACTCATCTCTCTCCTTATCCTCCTCTCTATCCTCACTCATCTCTCTCCTTATCCTCCTCACTATCCTCACTCATCTCTCTCCTTATCCTCCTCACTATCCTCACTCATCTCTCTCCTTATCCTCCTCACTATCCTCACTCATCTCTCTCCTTATCCTCCTCTCTATCCTCACTCATCTCTCTCCTTATCCTCCTCTCTATCCTCACTCATCTCTCTCCTTATCCTCCTCACTATCCTCACTCATCTCTCTCCTTATCCTCCTCACTATCCTCACTCATCTCTCTCCTTATCCTCACTATCCTCACTCATCTCTCTCCTTATCCTCCTCACTATCCTCACTCATCTCTCTCCTTATCCTCCTCACTATCCTCACTCATCTCTCTCCTTATCCTCCTCACTATCCAAACTCATCTCTCTCCTTATCCTCCTCACTATCCTCCTCAGACACTTGAAGGGCCTTTGAAGTTTCTTTTTTCACGCTATTTCTCTGCACATTCCTTGCGTTTCTTCTCCATCGCTCTGACTATTTTGACAGATACACACTGACATTGCTCGCTCACTCAGAGCTCAAAGGGGGAGGAGTTTAAAGATGTGATTGGACCAGCCCAGTGTCAATCAAGAAAATAACCAATGGGCCGCTGATTTACGCGTTTCATCATGCGCCGGTCTGTGAGAAAAAGAAAAACCTACACTGACTTTTTTGTCCAATGCATTACACCGGCACAAAGATCCCAGAGCCGCCAATTAAACAAAACTAAACGCAATGGGCCGCCGATATATGAGTTTTGTGGGCCGTTCAAAAATAAATAAATAAATAAATAAATTAATTAATTAAGTATGAGATGTATCGGCCCACAAAGCACGTCGGCCCACCGGGGAAATGCCCGGTATGCCCGATGGCCAGTCCAGCCCTGCTGGTAGTCACTGTATGAAGAATTATTGGGTGTAATATGTCACAGTTTACTTTATTTTGCTCTCCTCACTTACAGAAATGAACTATAGTGTCCTAGTAAAATAAATAAAAAATGATATCTGGTGTCTGAGTAACTTCTGGTTTGCCTGTGTGATGTTAGAGACACGAGACTCACGTTCTTCACCGCATCAGCGTACTTTTGTTCATTGAAGTAGTCGTGGAAAGCGGCCATGTAGGACTCTTTGAAATTGGCCTGTAACAACGAGAAGAGAAGAGCTAAATCTCCACATCAACTTACAACGTTATTTCTGAATGTTCTCTGGATGTTTAAAAAAAGTTTCGGTAACACTTTACTTGAAGGGGTGTGCATAAGACTGACATTACACCTTCATAATCATGACATAACACACATCATGAATATGAAGGAGGGTTTACGCATGTTTATGACAACTGTCATTAAGTGTCATTCGCTCAATTATGACATTTTGAATGCAAATATGACATTGTTTGAGATGTCTTTGTTATGACAACTTGACATAAACCAATACATCATAATCTGTCATAAATCTGTCATAAACTTGACATAGCAGATGAATTATCAAACTTAAGAAAGCACTTAGCTTTATGGGTGAACATTACTTTAAACTGTCAGGTGGTTTTGACATCGGCTGTCATGAGGCATTATAACTGTGTCATGAATATTTTTCTTGACCTCGACTACAGTGGTACACATTGAATTTGTCATTAAAATGTTATAATGCCTCATGACAGCCAATGTCAAAACCAACCACATGACAGTTTAATGTAATGTTAACCCATAAAGCTAAGTGCTTTCTTAAGTTTGATAATTCATTTGCTATGTCATGTTTATAACATATTTAAGACAGATTATGATGTATTGGTAATGTCAAGTTGTCATAACAAAGACATCTCAAACAATGTCATATTTGCATTAAAAATGTCATAATTGAGCGAATGACACTTAATGACAGTTGTCATAAACATGCATAAACCCTCCTTCATATTTATGACATGTGTCCCGGTGTAATGTCAGTCTTATGCACACCCCTTCAAGTAAAGTGTTACCAAAGGTTCTTCTTGGTTATGAGAACGTTAAGGGAACATTACAATCTTCAACATTATGGAATGTTACTTTTAAATGTTCTATGAAAGTTTTGAAACAAGTTACACTTATGACAGACATTATGACAGACCAGATAACGTCCTATTATTCAGAATATCAGTGTTTACGTCATAATCACTACATTTTAATGAGTTAAAAAGTCTAAATCTTTTTCTGTATATATGTATTTTTTTGTGTGGAAAACACAAACCTTGTTATGCTGTGGCATTACTTGTTTTTTATTAAAAATAATAGTATGATCTTTACAGAGTTGTTTTTTTTTTTTACTAAAACTGTTAAAAAATATATATTTTCGCTAATTGAAATTAAGCTGAAGATCAAATATAATATTGGATGGAAAACTTAAATAAAAAAACTAAAAATGTTAGCCATGAAGAAAAAAACTGGAAAAAAAAGTTTTAAATATTAAAATGACTAAAACTAAAACATAGCGTAATTTTTTCATTAAAGCTATATAAATAAATAAATAAATAAATAAATAAATATATATAAAAAACTGATACTATATACTAAAACTGAAAGAAAAATGTATTAATTAAATCTATATAGAAATATTGAAAAAACTAAAAATAACAAAAATGCCAAAAGCACATATAAAATTATTAACAGTAAAACTGAAAGAAAAATGTATGTGTTAAATTTATTTCGAAATATTGAAAAAAACACAAACTAAGGAAAATGCCGAAAGCACACATATATTAACACAAAATTAACACAGGGTCTTTCACATTTCAGGAAGTGACATCATCACGGTCCAGACAGAGGACAGTTTCTCTTACAGTCCTTTTCAGTATTTCACTGTAGTTACACTGTTTTCATGCTCTAATGAATCATATATTATATTATAGATAATGTAGCACTGTAGGATGTGTAAATATGAATAGCTGTTGTGAACACACTTACAGATTTGGACTTGGCCAGGCTTCCCAGAGTTTGGATGGTTTTGGAAATGAGCGTCAGCGTCCGAGACGTGCAGGGATCCTTTACACACACAACAAGAGACAGAACGGATAAGAATGAAGCATCGGATGAGGAGCTGAACGGAGTGTGTGTGTGTGTGGAGTGTGTTGTACACACACCGGGTGATGAGGTCGCAGGTGGAAGAGGCTCGGGGACAGGATCGCCGGAGCGAAGAAGCGGAGGAAGATGAAGCTACTGACAGCCGTGTAGCGAACATCCGGGTCGACTGAGAACACACACACACACACACACACACACACACAGCATCATCATCACGGATCTCACGGCTCATGATAATAAATAATCTCTTCTGAGAACGTTTGAAACATCCATTTTTTTTATGTTTAAAAAAGAATAATAATTAAGGGAACATTCCATTTTATAGTTCTGCAAACATTATATTAATGTTACTTCTGAATGTTCGGATGTTCTTTTAATAATGTTTTTAAAACTGAAATCCTGGTTATATGAACGTAAGGGAACATTCCATTCTTCAAACATTATGGAAACGTTACATTTGAATGTTCTCTGAACGTTCCGAAACACGGCGTTACATTTGAAGACCGTCAGATGAACATCCAACTGACACATTTCAGAAAAACATTCCATGAATTATGTACAAGTAATATTTTTTAATGTTTTGAGAACATTATTAAACCAGATAACTTTGAATGAACGTTCTATTAACATTCCTGGAAGAACATGTCCATAACTTTGCAAACGTTATTTCTGAATATTTTCTGAACGTTTAAAACATCCAGTTTTTTTTAATGTTTTAAAAAAAAATCTTGGTAGTGTGAATATATACGGAACATTCTATTTTATAATTTTGCAAACATTATATTAATGTTACTTTTGAATGTTCCCAGACCAACTTCTAGTTTTTAAAATGTTTAATTCCCAGTTATATGAATGTAAGGGAACATTTAATTCTTCAAACATTATGGAAACGTTACTTTTGAATGTTCTCAAATGTTAGATGAATTTTAGAATTATGCACAAGTACATTATTAAACCAGATAACTTTGAATGAAGCGTTCCTGGAAGAACATGAGTTCATACTTTGAGAGAACGCTGTGTGAATCTAATCCTGCTCTCTGCAGTGTTGCTGTGTGGCCTGAAGGTGGCGGTGTAACCCTGACGGAGGAACGCTGGAGAACACAAGAAGTATTCTGGAGAAACCAAAATACACACACCACTGACCCCTTGTCTACTCACATGACGTATTTCCTGTATAAGGTTCATGTAGGCGTGATGACGAAGTGTGTGCAGAACGTTTGATCACCCGATGGGACACACTGATAGTGTTGCAAAAATGGGTAACACTTTACAATAAGATTCATTAGTTAACATATTAACTATCATGAACTAACCATGAGCAATACATTTCTTACTGTATTTGTTAATCTTTGTTAGTTAATATAAATACAGCTATTGTTTGTTCATGTTAGTTCACAGTTCAGTAACTAATGTTAACAAGATATTAATAAAGTATTAGTAAATGCTGCAATTTAACATTAACAAAGATTAATAAATGCGGTATACGTGCAGTTCATGTTAACTAATGAACCTTATTGTGAAGTGTTACCCAAAAATGCACGTGTTTACAGAGCTTTGTTTAGATTTTCAATACTTTGCATTTTAAGTAAGCTTCTAAATGTGTGGTCATGTGACAGACGACACAGACAAAATGGTGCTTCTAATTAAGTGATAAAAAGCAGTTGTACACATAGCCTACTCATCTTTGCACCAATAAAAAGACACTTTAACAATTTGTTTTACTACCAAATTACATTACAGTCTGACATGTTTCTTGTCCACAACACGACAAGATTGTAGGAGTCAAAATCGTGTAATCTGACGCAGTGACTATCGTAACAGACCGTCGTACAAATCGCGTAATCTTTTAACCAGGCGTGAAATGAAGCAAAGGGAGATCTGAGTCCACTCTTGTGTACATGAACAGTGTGAATGCAAACGAGAACTGGGACTTTTTTGGCCAAGTCACATCTGAGTAACTGGCAGACCTCGGGTTTTGTTTCAACTCCTTTAAAGAGAAACTCTTTCTATTGATTTTAAATTGATTATTGCCCAGCTCAGAGTTATCCGGTCTTTAATAATGTTCTCCAAAACATTATGTATTCATCGTTCATGGAACATTTTTCTGAAACGTTTTAATTGGATGTTCGTTCAAAACGTTCCCAAAATGTTTGATTGAATGGAATGTTTCCTTAACGTTCACATAACCAAGAATGTTTAATAACACAGGCCGCGTTTCCCGAGTTGATCGTGCTTCTGGGAAACGCAGCCCTGGACGTTTTGAGAAATGATGTTTTCCTAGCAACATTAGCCAAGCGTTCTTAGCACGTGTTTGTGAGCGTGTACCCTGGAAGCGTGAGGCCGCAGACTCCCTCAGGGAGAAGAAGATGTCACACATGACCGTCGGGCAGCTCACACCCGAGCTCGTGATGGCGCTGAAGATCCGGTCCACGTACTGGCGGAGGTTTTCCTGGCGAGACAAGAACATTAGTATAATATAGTAGAAAATAATCCACTTCCTGGGAGAATAATCGCCAATTCTGAAAACTTGGAGCGAGTATAAAAGCTTGCATGGTTAAAGTGAAACGCAAGGGCAATCGTGGCTTATATGCGCAATCAAAATTGCAGTGTTTATTCTTAATGATTCATCAATGCACAGTATTATTGTGTTAAATTCATGTTCCTTGATATGCATCTTAAATCAGAATAATTTCCTCCTTCTCTTGCAGCGACATCACTTCTTCATGAAAGTGGCGTTACACTGGTCTTCTCCTCTATTGTGTCGTATATCGAGTGAAACGCTTCTGGAACAAGAACACATGTGGGCGGGGCTTGATTGTGTCTGTGGGGAATTGATTGGATGGTTGTGGTTTGCTATTGGCTGATCTCATGTGAGTGACAGGTTAAAGCCCCGCCCTCGTCATCAGAGAAGAGAAGAGATGCTGCGAGAGGAACTGATTCTCATCAAGATGTATAAATTAAGGTGACTTGACTAGTGAGTATGTGAGAGTGTGTGTGTGTGTGTGTGTGTGAGTATGTGTGAGCTTTACTGTTTGAGCTATGCAATTTTTATAATCTCTCTTTATCAGTGTTGTTTGTATTATAGTTATTGGTATTATAGTATTTATTAATATTTTGAATGAGCTTTTATTTGTATATTTTCAATTTAAAACAATAATGATGTGAATCATTTAGAATAAACATGTCAATATTCCATTAAAAAACAACAAGAATTGTCCATTTTGATTACATGCTGACTTTATAATTCAAACAATTAGAAAGGATATAATAATGTTAGAATCGGATCGTGATATGGGACTCGTGGTCTGATGTATTAAGCAGACTCACCCTGTTAGTGTCCAAGTTCTCCGACTCCTTCAGCTTGACGGGGTCGATCTCGCACGGCTTGTGGTCGCCGCAGATCTGCACACACACAATCGTTTGCATTTTAATGATTCCAATTCATTTTCTTATCGATTCCTAATTTCGATTCCAATCAGGCACAAAAAAAAATAAAAAAAAATAGATATCATTCAAATTTAGTCTTATTGCAAAACATTTAATTGTAGCTGAATATCATGAGCAGAAATCATCAGCTAGAGAACACTAAAAGGAGCGTTTGCCTGTGGTTTAAAAACACCATAGAAAACGACTAGCCGAACTAATATAAATGTAAAACATTATTAAAGACAATAAACACTCAGAAATTAAAAAAGAACAAATAAAAAATGAGCAATCGCAAAAAAACAGACACAACTGAACAAAGATACGATTGAAATAAACAGATTTTCAGGTTTAGTTTAGTTTTATTTAGAGTTTGACAAGGACAAAACCCTGAAATGTATCAAACAAAACACATACTCAAGACAACCATATGTACCTAACTTAAAAAAAATATAATCAAAAATAAAACAAACTAACAGGAAGCACAGAAAACCTGAAATACATCAGGCTTCATACAAAAAACCTGTACGTTATTTATAAAACAATTTGGTGCAGTGTTGATTAGGGATGCACGATGATATCGGGACAACATCGGTATCGGCCGATAAAAGCTTAAAATGACCATCATCGGCATCGGCAGATATGAATATTTCTGCTGATGAGCCTTGCCGATAGGGTGGCGTGTTTCCTATGCGCACGTGACGACCGTGACCGAAGCATGAGCGCCAGCACCTTTAACCCTTGTGTTATGTTGCGGGTCAATTTGACCCGTTTCGATTTTCAAGTTGTTGGAAATACTGGTTAACTTTTGTTTTTTTTCTTGATATTTTGTGACTTTTTCTCATTTATCATGATGAACATGCATGCAAAGTTTCAACATGCTGATGTGTTTTGACATATACAAACAAAATTACTGTTACGTTCGTGATGTTCGCGGGTCAATTTGACCCTCATAGGCAGCCATTCAAAAGCAACTGTACAGACACAAAATAAAAACATTTATTTTCTGTATGTAAGGGCACTTCAACTCCAGTTCTAACGTGCAAGTGTATCTAAAAGTGCTCTAACCCTAACCAAACACACTTGAAAAAGCTAAAATCACAGTGTTTAGAATTATTTGCAAATTACAGATGAAAATCTTTGTCAGACACAGATAGTAAAATAAGCTCTCATTTCAATATTCAAAATATCTAAAATACCTAGCTTTAAACCAAAACTTTTAAGCGGATTTTCTCAGCTTCACAGAGCCAAAAAATAAATAAAAAACATTTATTTGATGTATGTTTTTGTTATGTTTGGTTTCTCACTTCCCAGTGAGTGAATAATGAAACTAGGAAAATAGGTCTTAGGAAACTAGGGAAAGTTAACTTAGGAAAATGAAAAAATTTCATTATACAGCAATTTTTTTTGTTCAGTTACGATGTTCAAAGCATAAAAAAAAATAAAAAAAATAATACATGCAAAAAAAAATCAGTATACTGTTTATTTTCCAATTTTGTCAAAACAAAACTGTTTTAAAAAACTGTTTTTAAAACATTTTCATAAATCATATTTTCAGATATAATGTTTTTGTAATGTTTGACAAATGTTGATATTAAAAGTTTACAGTTTGTATCTAAATCTTTGTTGTTTTTCATAGTGTGATTTTTGAGGAATTGTATTGAATCCAATTAGGGTCAATTTGACCCGGTCCATAAGGGGAGTACACAGAAATCGAACAGAACACAAGGGTTAAACTCAACTAGGGGTGTGTGTCTCACGCGGTTTTTGATCGTGGACGATTAAAATGTCTCCACGATCTGCTTTTGAAGAAAAATCATAGTATCGTGCATTCTATCAGTTCAACGCAGCATACATTCACATCACATGTAAACGCAGAGGTAGAGTTACTCACGGGACACTGCAATTCACAAAATTTCATTATTTGCATGTGCGTCAAAGTCCTGCTAGTTAAACATGTCATTCGCGTGCTGATGCGCTGTTCTAACATGCGCTTTACTGAGCGCGTACACGCGACGCTCACAGGAACTAAAAGCCTGTCACAGAGTCTGCATACTGGACTGAGTTATCTTTCGAGTCTTATGGCGCTGATACTGTCAAATACACACAAGATTTACATAAACAAAGTTGGTTATGTCTAAAGTGAAAGCAAACTTTCTGTGTGTATATTAGACGCGTCGCGTGCAGTTCTTAAAGAGACAGTAATAATATGCTGCCGCTTGTCCTTAAAGAGAAACTGCACCCAGAAATAAAAATTCTGTCATTATTTACTCACTCTAATGTTGTTCCAAACCTGGATTCATTTCTTTCTTGTGCTTAAATACACTATGGAAGTCACTGGAGTACAGCAACTGTTTGGTTAGCCACATTCTTCCAAATAACTTTTATTTTCACCAGAAGAAAGACATTTATTTGGGTTTAAAACAACTTGAGAGATGATGACAATTAACAATTTTTTGGGGAGAACTATCCCTTTAATGTTAATAAAATAACAAAACACAAAGAGGAAATCACTCACTGCTCTTGACTGAGAACTTTAATAAGATTTTTTTTGCATTCTATCAGTTCAACGCGACGTACATTCACATCACATGTAAACGCAGAGGTAGAGTTAAAAAAATACAAATATATCAGTATCGCATCGGGCAAAATTAGTTTGAAAATATCGGCAAAAATCCAATATCGTGCATCCCTAATGTTGATGAACTGTCCTCACTAACTCACTCAGGTATTCGGGTTCAGAAACTGTAATCAAATGTAAAATAACACTGCACTTTATAAATAAAATATACATTACAAATATACGAGTGAATCTTCTCTGTGTTGTGTTGTGTGATTAGTGTTATTATAGAGACGGCAGCAGGAATATCAGCGCTGTCACTTTAAGAGCTGCTCTATAGTTACTCACGCCTGCACTGAACACAGAGTCTCACGCTTGAAAACTCATATTGAAATGCTCACAAAGGAATCGATAAGAGGAATCGAAATTTAAATTTTATAAGAAGTATCCGATTCCTGGCCTCAAGTCATCGCTTCCCAACCCCAGCTGTAAGGCAGAGACTGAGCCTCACCTCATCGATGATGGGCTTGAGCGTGACCCGCAGGTAATGCATCCCCGCCAGCTTCATGGTCTCATCGATGCATTTAGACGTCAGCGAGTTTCCCCGGAATATGGTGTTGGGATCCCTGCGGAGACGAGAGGACGGTGAGGAAGGGGTGGAGACGCGTGTGTGTGTGTGTGTGTTAGAGGTCTGCTACCCGACCCCGACGGGTCCCGAGAAACTCACAGGTTTCGGGTCGGGTTCGGGTTAATGTTTAACGAATAGCCTCGGGTTCGTAACTAATAAAAGCTATACAGGCTCTAGCCTACACATGTATAGTTAGCGTGGCGTATGCTAGCTGTGTTGAAGCACGCGAGAGAGAAGCACATGCTCAGTCTCAGCGCCGCCGTCCTCCTCTGAGTGTGTGTGTGTGTGTGTGACTGTAATAGTGCGCGCGGGAGCACATCATGTTTTGTCCCAGCCCTAGTTTTGTATAAATGATATATGAATCATTTTTATTTGATCATATATCATTTTATATCCACTGTTTTGCGCATGTGTTCCCGCGCGCACTATTCCAGTCACACACACACACACTCAGAGGAGGACGCTGAACATCACCTCTCGATGCGGTTCTCTTCCTCCATAACTCGTGTGGAGAAGGATATGTTTATATATATTTGTGCAACTGCGCCAACTTTGTTTTGAAGTTTAATGTTCGAGTTCCAGAGGAATTAGAGACTGTTTCCCTGTTCAACCACAGCAGAGTCTCGTGTGAGTCTGTGCCTTCGGGAAACGCTGTTTGGACATGTATTTGTTTAATTATCATTGCAAGCAATCATAAAATACAGCATATTGCATATTCCAAGGTATTTACTGTGAGAAACGGACCTCGGGGTCGGGCTTACAATATAACCGTAATGGTCGGGTCGGGTTAAATGATGGCAGACCTCTGATGTGTGTGTGTGTGTGTGTGTGTGTGTACTCACTGCGTGCGGTTGATCTCTGCGTGTGCGATGGCACTGAGGAAAGGCACGATCTTGCCGTAATGCAGGAAGAGTCGAACTAGCGGGACGGCGGCCTCTTGTTTCTCACGACACGCCTCGCCCAAGATATGAGCCGCCGACGCCGACACGGGCTACACACACACGACATGTGATCATCAATGACAAATCAATGAATCAACACCCACCAATGCTGTTTTTTCAAAATCTCATAATCATTTGTTAACAAACAAGTATTCACTACTTCAGTGAGCTCATTGTATATGCCTTAAATTAAGCGCTATATACACGGTATATATACGTGAATTGAATAAATTAGAGTCAATAACAGTGCATTATGGATCTATTGTACATGACACATGTTTTGGAAAACAGGACAGAAACACTGAGGAAGAGCATCATTTCTCATGGAGTCAGACACACCTTTGCCGTGACCTCACTGACCTCGCCGTGCGCGGACTGCAGGAGCAGGTCCCGGAGCGGGTTGTAATGCTCCGTGAGGAACACGTGGTCCTCCGTGTAAACGATGTTGAGCCGTAACGAGCCCAGCTCATCAGCCTTCACAGATTTATGCCCATTATCTCTGGGCAGCAGAAAGTACCTGAAAGAAAGCGGAGGATGAGCTCCTGTCCTGAAACCACGAGAGTCTCATAGTGCTGGGCGGTCACCGGTTCATACCGAACACCGGTGTGTGTGTGGCTTTAACAGCGCTCTCTGTGTGAGAGGGGCTTTCACTGTTCACTGGTGAGGCTTTTAAGCGTGAGGGTGAAGATGGAGAGGTTCAACTATAACTGACAGCTGTCAAATTATATTACAGTGTTTCCCGTACAGTGGTTCACAACATCAACACAGGCGTTTGGAAAATCTGTGTGTGGCTGGCTTTGACATGTTGGATAAACATGAGCACTGACCGTTTCACAGTCGGAACGCGGCGCGGGTGTTTATAATCAATGTTTCTGAAGTGAACTGACGGTCTTTAGAAAAGTTGCGATGTTATTGCAATTGAATCTTCCCTGATAAAGCAGCGTTTATGAGGCGATACCGGGGAGAACAGCCTCGCAAACCTGTGTTAATACTAGTGTGGGATATTTCTACAATATTCAATCTACTGCAGTATTTCCTCTCAATCAGTAGAAAATGTGGCTAACACACAGTCACGCTTGGGGGAAAAACCCGTCATATATCGTGATATGGATTTTTGGTCCTACCGCCCAGCACTAGCGTCTTACACAGAAAGCACGCGTGACGAGGCTCGTACCATGCGTCATGAACACCCGACTGTCCCAGAACCTTCAGCTGAACCCGTACCTCTCCCAGAAACTCGTCTCCGAACTTCAGATTGCTGGCGTTCCACAGATCCACCCTGAGGAGAGAGTCAGAGCGCTCGCTAAAGCACACATGAAATCATACAATCAAACCAATGTATCAGACACCAGATGTAATTACTAGTGTGTGCAGGACACTATAGTTCATTTCTGTAAGTGAGGAGAGCAAAATAAAGAAAACTGTGACATATTACACCCAATAATTCTTCATACAGTGACTACCAGTAAAGATTGGGAGTTTAGAACGGTTTTTAAAACTATATTGCTATCATGTGAACGGGCCTTTATTCCCCGTTCCATCAGCAGCTGGCGTGAGAATGACCATGTTCAGATTACAAAACCAACAACTCAAATCACAAAAGAACATCAGATAGTGCAAATCTAGATCACTGCTATTATCAGCAACGAATCCGTGGACGAGACGAGACGCATCCAGGCTCGACATGTCCTCATCCGCCCGAGTTAGTCTACAAACACCCAGAGTTATTCCACTGCTGTGAATTTTATTGGTTATACATGTAAATTTAAAAGATAATGATGCACAAAGATGATAAATCAAAGTTAAAATGCCATATTATGCTATTTTAAAGGTTCCTAATGTTGTTTGTTTGCGTCTCCTACAACAGGTTTACATGCATCCAAGATCAAAATCACTGTAGTTCCCTCATAATCTCCACTGCAGCTTCAGCTCTTTCTCTCAGTGTCTGAAACGCTTCCATCGAGGATTCAGTCTCTCTAAGCTCCGCCTCTCTGAGAGCTGCTCTGCTGTGATTGGTCAGAGAGCAAACGCTCATTATCATATCTGAACCTCAGCTCTTGATCACAGTGATACGAACAGTAACGATGGCGTGGGTTTCACCGTAACACGAGCCGAAATCTCCCAGTCTCAGATAGACTACAGTGTTTGAGGGCGGAGCTAAGAGACGCTGCTCGGCCAATCAGGAGCAGAGGCTGGCATTATGCAAATTAGTTACACAAGGTTCAGCAGGAAGTGAGACTGAATTACTGACGACTCGTTATAGTTCAGAATCACTTCTTTCTTTCAGGAGACAATACTCCATTTATTGAAACTTTGATCTTTGCACAGCGTTCACATTCACAAACAGCTTTATTACACACTACATGAAAGGCCATATTCAAAAATATTCAAAGTATGCTACAAGTGTGACTCATAAACACAGACCATGATGCACCATGGTTGTGTTTGTGGGCAGTTTATATAGTAACACACTCATTGGCTCAGTGTAAACACAGGCTGCTTCTGAGAATCACACACACACACACACACACACACACTCACTTGAGCGCCAGCTTGTCCACGTCGTCCTCTTCCACGTCGAAGTGTCGTTTGGTGTAGCTCAGCGGTCGGGTCACCTGTGATGAAACAGGACACGACTGACACACATGACGAGAATAAACCATCATCTGAAACACAACAAACTAGCGATGTACGGTCTATCGGCCAGCATATCGGTATCGACATATATGTACATTTTTAATGTTATCGTTATCGGCTCATAAGAAAATTTGTCTGATATTTTAAAGCCGATAAATAATGTATTATTTCCTCCAGCTGAGATGCTTCAGATGCGCACTGTTCAACATGATGGTTATGAATTATGATTGAAATATGAATGGAATCACTTGAATAAAGGAAATTGCAGTTCAGTGCAACATGTGCGAGCCTGTCATATCGGCTTCATAACATTATAATGAGAACATTATATTTGTGTGTTTGGGTCATCGCTTTTAATGATGAGACTTTTGTTTTTGTAATCAGGCTCTCAAAAGTTATATAAAAATGTGGATTGAGATTTATCAGCCGATATATGTCGATTATCGGCTTTCAAATATAAGAATAATCGGTTATCGGTATCAGCCGGAATCTTTCATGTCGGTTAATTATAATCGGTAATTATACAACAGACCACTAATCAGGCGAGACGCGGACACATGACACGACTCTGAAAGGCGGGTCAGTCGGACACATTTCTAAAAATAAAAACAATCTGCAAAGACACATTTCCTTTCTGATCATGAGCGAATAACTGTGTTTAATGATATTGGATTATATTTCACACTGAGCCGAGGGCTGTGAGTGGATGAGAGAGTGTGTGTGTGTGTGTATGTGTGTGTGTGTGTGTGAGTGTGTGTGGGAGTGGACGATGATGATGATGAAGAAATGTGTGTGTGTGTCTGTGAATGTGTGTGTGTCTGTCTGTGAGTGGGCGATGATGATGAAGACGTGTGTGTGTGTCTGTGAATGTGTGTGTGTGTCTGTGAATGTGTGTGTGTGTCTGTGAGTGAACGAAGATGATGATGAAGACGTGTGTGTCTGTGTCTGTGAGTGGACGATGATGATGATGAAGACGACGTGTGTGAGTGTGTGTGTGAACGAAGATGATGATGAAGACGTGTGTGTGTGTCTGTGAATGTGTGTGTGTGTCTGTGAATGTGTGTGTGGGTCTGTGAGTGAACGAAGATGATGATGAAGACGTGTGTGTCTGTGTCTGTGAGTGGACGATGATGATGATGAAGACGACGTGTGTGAGTGTGTGTGTGAACGAAGATGATGATGAAGACGTGTGTGTCTGTGAGTGGACGATGATGATGATGAAGACGACGTGTGTGAGTGTGTGTGTGAACAATGATGATGATGACGAAGACGTGTGTGTGTCTGAATGTGTGTGTGCGTGTCTGTGAGTGAACGAAGATGATGATGAAGACGTGTGTGTCTGTGTTTGTGTCTGTGAGTGGACGATGATGATGATGAAGAAAAAGACGTGTGTGAGTGTGTGTGTGAACGATGATGATGATGAAGACGTGTGTGTCTGTGTTTGTGTCTGTGAGTGGACGATGATGATGATGAAGAAAAAGACGTGTGTGAGTGTGTGTGTGAACGATGATGATGATGAAGACGTGTGTGTCTGTGTTTGTGTCTGTGAGTGGACGATGATGATGATGAAGAAAAAGACGTGTGTGAGTGTGTGTGTAAACGATGATGATGATGATGACGTGTGTGTCTGTGAGTGTGTGTGTGAGTGTGAATGATGATGATGATGAAGACGTGTGTGTCTGTGAGTGTGTGTGTGAGTGTGAATGATGATGATGATGATGACGTGTGTGTCTGTGAGTGTGTGTGTGAGTGTGAATGATGATGATGATGAAGACGTGTGTGTCTGTGAGTGTGTGTGTGTGTGTGTGTGAACGATGATGATGAAGACGTGTGTGTGTGTGTGTGTGTGTGTGTGTGTGTGTGTGTGTGTGTGTGTGTGTGTGTGTGTGTGTGAACGATGATGATGATAAAGACGTGTGTGGGAAAGACCGCGAGGGCTGTGAGATAAATGGAGCGGATTGTGTGTCTCACAATCAATCACACTCTTGTCTCGTCGTCCTCTGGGGCGAGTTCATGTATGTGTGTGTGTGTGTGTGTGAGGACAGAGAGAAAACAGCTGTCACGTCTGATAACACGAGCGGCTGTCGTCTGAACGCTAAACTCTCACGAGCGGCACTGAAGAACTGGAGATCGTCAGAGGAAGATTATGTAGATGTGCAGTGAGCGCTGTGTGTCGAGGGTGTGGGAAGTGTTAAAGTGAGAAACCACAATCCACCAGTGTGTGTGTGTGTGTGTGTGTGTGTGAAGTTAGAGTACAAACACCTGCAATTATCATTCATAGCACCATATTAAACTTTCCATCTGAACCAGAACGTAATCACTGATGTCTCTCATCTCAAGACTTTCACAAGCAATTTGCTTTCACTGAAATTAATAAATGTGGGTTCTTTATGTGCACAAGTTTCCTGACACAGGCAAACCAAAAACTATTCAGACACCAGATATAATGTGTGCAGTGTGTGCAGGACACTATAGTTCATTTCTGTAAGTGAGGAGAGCAAAATAAAGTAAACTGTGACATATTACACCCAATAATTCTTCATACAGTGACTACCAGTAAAGATCGGGAGCAGAAATGATTCGGACACTTTGAGCTGATCATGTTTTGCTGAAGTGTGTTTTCTGTAATTGCTAATGCTCTTTTTACACACACACTGAACAACATGAAGCATTGCTTGGTCACTGGTTGAGCTAAACTGGTATTATCTAATTGTGTAGTTCAATTTAACAGCTGACAGATATTCAACATAATTCATGTGTGAGAGTCGAACAGAAGGACGGACAAAACCAGTCAAATATCCACTGATCTGAGAACTCTGAGTTCTGCTCATGTTTATCACCATTATAGCGAATAAACTGTGATAATGTGAGAAATGTTGAAGTGTGTGAATAATGTTGGTTTGCCTGTATATATGAGCTCCTACCTCGAAGAAGAAGACCTCGTCAAACTGAGGATTGTTGGTTTTCCGCTTGACTTTCGTCTTCTTGGCCTCTGACCTGTGAGGGGAAACGCTTTTATGTTTTTACATTGTGTCACAATGACTGTGATTTACAGCTATTTTGAATCACAATTTAGTAATCATAAATGTTTCATGAGCATCAGATCATCATATTAGAGTGATTTCTGAAGGATCATGTGATACTGAAGACTGGAGTAATGATGCTGAACATTCAGCTTTGCTCACCGGATATAAATTACACTTTACTGTATATTCACATAGAAAACAGCTGATTTACATTAGAATAATATTTCATAATTTTTACTGTATTTTTGATCAAATAAATGCAGCTTTGATGAGCATAAGAGACTCTTTCAGAAACATTTAAACGTTTTGACTGTGTAAAGTATTAAGTAAGTCATTTATATGTTTAAGGTACTTATTATTTGGGTAGTTGTTTGAATTATGTTTGTGCAGTTTTGGATGCGTCTTCAAGTCGAGTCAGCTTTATTAATACAGCAGCTTTACAGAGATAACAGGAGAATAATGCAACAAAGTTTGTTTCCAGAAGAGAAGAGCGTCTCAGTCCAGCTTAAGTCAGTTCAGTGATGCTTCATTTCTGTTGTAATAAAGTTATTAATTTAGCTCATATATATATACAGTATATATATATATATATAGCCGCTCTGGAGTAAACGGTGATGTCATCGTCCAGCTCAGTTCAGTTCTCATATAATGCTGTCAATGCAGGAGATCAATAATATTGTTGAATATTAAATATTAAATGTCCCCAACAATTATGTCAATAATTGTTTGATGTTTTCTTTTTGCTGATTGGATAATAGGCTAGTTTGCTTGTCTTTTATCAGGTGTGAGTGTTTACTATGTACACTTAAATCTCTGTTCTTATTGCCTGAAGATCTTGCCAGATTTACAAGCTCTCAATTCGATTCTCGATGCGATTTTTGATTTCAATTCCCGATTCGACTCAATGAATATAGATTTGATACAAATCATATATTTATTAAAAAAAAAGAACGGTGAACATAAGTTTACAAGTGGTTAATTAATAAAAAACTATTAAGTTTCACAAACCTGTATATTAAACTCTTTTAATCTTAGGTGCACTTGGGCACATTAAAGCAGAACCCAACTCTATATTTCAAACGCATACAGTGAGGCCATCCTTAAAAATATTTTGGTTTGCAGTAACAGCAAAAAAAAAAAAAAAAAGGGTCGGTAGGTCTATTTTTTTTTTTCAAGATTCAATGTAAAAAAAAAGGATAATTTTGGTCATGGTGATTACGTCGGTATGAATTTAAACAAATTTGCATATCGTGACGTCACTGACTGGGTCTTCAACCCATGCCTTCGGGCGCACCATTGCGAACCTCATTCTGATACAGGTTATAGACCACAAACAATTTGAAATCTTTGTCAAAAAAAACATATTTATTGCATTAATTCCAGCTGCATTCATTTGGAAAAAAAATAGGCAGAATCAAAAAAAGAAAAAAAAGAAAAAAAAAAGGAGCCACTAGATTTCAATGAAAGTGGATTTTCAGAGGGAAACAAATAAATTAAAATGACTAATCTCACCAGCGCCGCGCCGACCAATAAAACAGCGCGTTTGGCACCATTCGTTTACATTTGACCCAAACTGTTACAAGCCCCCTTTCTGGTCTAGGGGCAGGAAAGGAGGGTAACAAAAAGTTGCAGGGAGAGAGTGAGAGATTTGACCCATAAACATCTGCTATTATTAACGGAAATCAGTGTGGTCAAATAGCTAGGCGCATTGTAGGAAACTATAGGCCGATTGAGTTGTCCTGACATTATGGAATGGTCGATTTTCTTTTGTGCAATTTAGTACATTTCGGTATGGGATGTGCTGTTTTATTGGTCAGCGCGGCGCTGGTGAGATTAGGTCGCGCCGCTCTGACCATTGGCTGGCGCAAGCAAAGCTTCTCCCTGCGCTGTCGAGTCTGTCGCGCTCGCGCGGTTCGGTCCATTGAGCCACGCAGATTACAAGTCAGCGCAGCGCGAACTCTGTAACACACCGCGCCGTTTCGTCCCCCTTTCGGTGTGTTTGGCTTCCCACACTTATGTGTGTGTGTTTGTCAGAGCTTGCAGGTGCTGTGTGACGCGCGTTCGCGGTGGGCATATCGTGACGAGCTGAACGCGCTCCGAGAAAAGGCCGTTAACATCGATTCCCTATTCCCTATTTGACCATTAAGAATTTCGAACAATGAGCGACTAAATGTAGGCTCATATAGACGTATTTCACAAGCAGCCGCGCCGCAGCCATCATCACCGAGCGCGAACCATTGTGTAAGCTGCGCATCCCAAATAAGGGGAGTGGCAACGCTATTAGCGTCCACAGTGTTTTACTCATGATGTGCCGGGGAAGAGAAACACCTGTGTTGCATTAGCAATCAGGGATCAAAGTTATAAACGTATGATGTATTTGTTGTTGTGCGGGGGGGGTTTTCTGTGGCTGCTGCTGAGTTCCTCGCCGAGGCTACCGTGCCGGGACGTGGGTTGGAGATAGACGCGTGCGAATAGGATATTGTGCTGGGGTTTTCCCCTCTTAAGTTTGGCGGCCGCCATTGATTTCCTTGAATGCGGGAACCCATGTCCGGTAGCGGGTAAGGAAGCCAGCAGTACACTCTCATTTGATTGTGGTTGATGTCTGTGTTGGTATTGTGTTGTTCGCCGGGGAGGCCCTAATTTATGTGTGCAACTATTGGTCCCCCGGCGCCATTTGTGTGTAAAGTGAGCGTGTGTGTGAGTAAGGGGGTAGGAGAGCAGGTTGTTATCTTCCACAAGCCTTTTATCCTGTATATTGACAACGGCTATGTATTTAGCGTGAGTGGTATTGATGGGATGTCCTGATATTTGGTGTGTATTTATTGGTGTGGTATTTACGTAATTTATATGACTTTGAGGTTTGCAGTGCAATGAAATTATGCTAGGTGATCACATGAATGCATGTATTTAACAACCTTTGAGACCCGTGCTGAATATATTGTCCTGTTTGTTGATGCTTTATTCTTCGTTAAGTTTATTTGATTAAATGTTATCATTCATTATAAATACATGATTAGAATTGCTCCTGTCTTTGCATTAACCTGTTATCCCCCCCTTGGGTTTTAACCCCATGATTGTCTAAAAATAAAATTGTTATATTTATATCTAATGCATTGTGCACGTGAGTTTTCCTTGGTTATTTAGCCACAGAAAATTATTGGTCCAGTAGAGAACCTGTAAATCACCCTTATTACGAGTTGGGGTGGTTACAATTGACAGTGAATGAAATCATAATAACGCCACGGGTTTTTATTTAAAAGAAAGAACGTAGCCTACGCAATTTATATTCACAATACTTACTATAATAAATTTATATTATTTTATTGCATTTGTATTAGTTGTTTAAAGAGTAAAAAAAAAATCGGTCGGTCTTAATGCAAGTTTACAACCGGCAAGTCGGTCAGACTAAAAGGGGAAAAAAATTAATAATTGGGTCGGT